TTATTGTTCAAACAATTTTAATAAAGACCTGAAGATTGGAAATTATACCAGACAAACGTTGTTGTTGAACAAACATGTTGTAAATTAAATTTATTACTTTATTTAGGTTGACGTGCGACATATTTGATCGTATCAGAATAACTTCCAGGTTGTAGAAAAATTATTCATTAAGCCGTGAAAATTCGCGACCAATTTTGTACAGTTATTTATCTGAATGCTTTTTGTACACGCTGATTGTATATGTGCAGTGCAAAATTTGTAACAAGGCAGCATATATCGGTGAGTGCATAAAAAGAATTATCCAAGATTATTCGAACGAGCAAAGACACGTTTTTTCTCGACCAATTTAACAGACGACTGCCTGCGCGCTTTTGCTCTCTCGCCGTTATACATCATTTCAATCACAACAGTGATAACGCACGGCGTGAACGTGTACACAGTGCTTTTCAATGGCATAATGAATTTCACCTTTCTCACTCACACAGACACCTCAACGAGGATAAAAAGTCTTACACAAGCGGCAGCACACGCAGTGTAAGGAAAGAGGGCAAACATAATAAGGAAGAAGAAGGGAAGTGGCGTCGTATAGCAAGCACAGCTCCCTTGACTTTGAACGAGAGACCGCGCGCGAGAGAGAGAGAGAGAGAGAGAGAGAGAGAGAGAGAGAGAAAGAGAGAGAGAACTCGAAGCCATAAATTTCGATATTATACGCGGCTCTTTTCTCGGCTGCGCGCGAGCAAGCGGCGAAAAGGAAGAAGGGCAGCTTGTGTCTCCCTCCGCTCTCCGGTGACGCAACCCATAACAATGCTCTCACGAGATTTTAACTTTCTTTTTTTCGCTTTACCCGTCCCCGAGATCGCGCGTGCAGGCCTCTCTACAATGCCTTTTGCGTAAAATTTTCCCTGATTTCCTCGCGGGGTATAAAAAATTCCTCTTGTTTTCTTTCCCTATCCTCGTCTAGCTGGTCGTTCGTTCGTGGCTCGGCACTGCTGCTGCTGCTGCTGCTGCTGCTGCTGCTGCTGCTGCTGCTGCTGCTGATGCGCCTTTCGAGCACCTTGCCCTCGGACTCAAACTTCTTGCTGCTTCTCTTTCCATGCAGCCGATAATTTATAGGGCTGGATTTAAAATCGCGATATCATAAAGAGGAAGTCTCCCCCCCCCCTGCTCTTTTAAGGAGCCTGCACGCTCCTGACAATTCAATTCTTTTCGTTGACTTAGCAGCAGGACCAAAAATTTATGGCGTTCGTCGTGGAAAACTCGCGCGATCCTCTCTGTCTTTTGTTTCTTACTATTATTGCTGGCTGCTACTGCACGCCTTATGTACCTCGAGTGCACGTGCGCGACTTGTATTAGATTTATAAGCGGGCGTGTACGTATCTCGGGCGACGATCTTGTTAGCAGGCGTTTAATCGTCTGTGAAAAATGTGCGCAATACAAGCGCTATATGCGCGTAATTTTTCTTCTTCCTCTGCAGCCTCTTGTGAGGTGATACGATATTATTGCCAAGCTGGGTGCGTACTTGGCTTATGTTTGCGCTAAACGCACTCTACCTATTTGTCGATTATGTGCCGCCTAGTTCACCTTTTTCGCCAGAAATTATAAAATTCAAATTTATAACGCAAATAAAATTTATACAACGAATAATAGTAATTGCAACTGCATGTTGCGATTCAATTCTGAAAAATATAATCTGGTTGAAATGAACATTTATTCTCAACTCGTAAAGTGTCATAAATATGTCGAATTGGTGAATGAAATTCAAGGAAGAAAAGTTTCAAGTCGAAAGTGGAGTAAAGGGACGGCAGCCTACGCGTATAAAACTTTAAAAGGCGGCCCGCGGCGAGGCTTTAATTAAAAGTCTCCATTAAAGTCTCGTATATTGCGCATTTTAATAGAGAGAATGAGATAGAGAGAGCCGGGAGCAGAGAGCGCGATTCCCATCAGCGTTTCCGCGCTTTCAGCTGCGGCGGCGGCAGCGCAGGTGGCTATATATACGCGATGATGACACGACCGAGATAAGAGACCGCTTGCCCATAAAGACATTCGTGCGGCGGCATTTGTGCATTCATATATGTATCCACGATGGTCACGAGAAAGAGACGATGTACGAACTTGCTCGCTGAGAAAAGTTCTCTAAAAATGAAACGGGCTCGATTATCCGCGGACGTCGGCAGCGACGATTCGCAAAATGTTTAGGTAAGCAAGAATAGCGGTCCCCTACGCACATGTTTGTCCGCGAGAATTCGAAAACACAACGATCATTCAATAAGGCATTAGACGCGCACACAACGGCGGCAGGAGCAATGTAATCGGTACAATCATCGGAGCTGACGTACATGTATTGCCGTGATAATATATAGGCCGAGCAGCGGCAGATGCGCTTGACGTGCGCGCTTGCTGCTGCTGCTGCTGCTGCTGCTGCTGCTGCTGCTGCTGCCGGCTCATTGACACAGCCGGCCCCCGTCAAATTTTCCAATCACCCCTCTTCCTGCAGCGCTCGCGCACGCATGCACAGCGAGCGGGCTTTTTGTATCGGCCGGATGGGGCCGCCATGTCGAACGCTGACGCGCACTGTCGAAGCGATATCGAGAGGAAAAATGGCAAAACGGGGGGTGTGCCCGCTTATGCTCGATTATGATGGCCGACGCCCACGGACGCGCTTGATTATTTTCGTGACGCGCGACGTAAATGACGGTTGAGTTATCGTTGCGAGACACATCGGACGTCCGAAACGAAAACAATGTCGACGGGACGACGTTCAGTCGAAAGCTATCATGACGGATATGGCGAATAATCTCTCATTATTGTTGTTATACCAAAGGAAACAATGCTTGGCGCGCGCGCGCGAGAGCTGCAAAATTTTCGTAATCACTTTGTGCGCATATCGCGATAAATCACTGCGGATAGATGCTGTTGAGCGGGAAGGGGAAAGGGCATTACCACGCGCATACAAGTGTTACCGTCGCGCGTCAATTTCGTACTTTAAAGTAAAGTCGGCTGTTTTGAGGACGCGATGCACGCGAGCGCAGCGGATGACAGTGAGCCTCGATGATACATTGCCCCGGCGCGCGCGAGCTGTAAGCCTCGGCGCCGATTAATCTTTCCTGATTTTCCCAGCGACGCCACTCTTGTTGTTATCATTATTGTTTTTTATTTTTCTGACCGTTTGATAAATATCGTTGATTTGCGAAATTTTCAATATATTTTTGTGCTTGCGAAGGCGTCAGGTTGATTCGACTGCGCGCGTCAATCAAATTTAATTAAATTCAAAAGAAAGGAATGGCTGTTTCCATCGACAACAATGTGGCCTTATGTATTACATTCAAAATGTATGATTGGCAGTGCTAAAAGTTCGTCGCCTACACGGCAATGAACTACAAATCAAGGAGTGCTATCTGAAATGCCGTCAGCATTGATTTGAAATATCCGAAAATCCGTGTTTATAGTTTTACGCGCTGCAAGTTAGAGCAACAATACGTAGAGGCAATAAATCGAGCGGGATGTCTATATATGTAGTCGACAGCGGGCTACGGCACAGCGGCCGGCGATAAAAGCCGCGTACGCGCGGATAAATAATTTGACGGCCGGCGAGAGATGCCTCCGTCCCCTGAATAAGTGAGAGCAAGGCGAGCGGAAGGGAAACTCGCAAGCAGGCACGTTCACCTTGACCCTGAGCTAGTGGCGTTTTTCGAAAGCACGAGTACGCGAACCGATTGCATAATTCATAAGTGCATGCTTACGCCCTCATGAGAATCTCTTTTTAAAACTTGCGCTCTACTGCAGGTTATAAGCGGAGGGCGCGTGCGCCGCGCACAAGAAAGTATGCTATACTGCTGCAAGAAAAGTCGTCGTCGAAAGTGAGCTGAATTATGGGCAAGCGAGCCGGAATTCGCGTTCTTGCCGTCGCAAGGAATTCAGCCCGCGCGACAGCGAAGGGACAATTACAATTAAGAGGCGGTTAGCGAATTACCGAACATTTCAAGCACGCCGCCGCCGCCACCACCGGGATTCCGAGTATTGTGTATACGTGCGCGCGCGTCCATGTGTGTTCACGGCGTGAGTAAGATATGAGGTAAGATACTCATACTAACGTTGCTCTTGCCCGACGCTCGTTTCGCTTCGCGTGAGAGACAAAGACAGAGAGAAGACCGATTGTTTTCCGAGATCTTTTTGTCCTGCATTTTTCGGTTAATTCAAACAAGCACGGAATTCGTCCAGAAGAATCCGTCGAGTAAAGGAAAAAGATAATTTTATATAAGTCCGGCATCTCGAGTTTTAACGAGACTGAAATACTCGTAATACTGTCGGTAATCATTGCACGCAACTATGGCAATAATTGAATATTCGAAATTCATTGACTCGTAATCACGTTCGGTTTTTAGCTGAAAAAAATAATAGATTTGACGGAAGAAAAGTAGAGTCGGAGATTGAGCAAATTGCCGGCACATCAACAGATAGCCAAAATTTTCGTCTCGCCTATTCTTTTTAGTCAATACGGCTTTTTTCCGGAACAGCAAATTTCACAACGTCAGCAAGCACGCTTTACTCGCTCGCTCGCGTTCTCTGATTTTACGTCACGATAATCCCAACGAAATTTCGCTGTCGATCAAAGTAGCATTTTAACGAATTGCAATGTTCCAATGTTTTGACGGCACTTTTAATCTAATCTATAAATTACTGGTTGCATAAAAATAAAATTTCATAGCGTAACGCCAAGATTTACTGGTTTTGGATTCTTTTTTAGGCACTCGTCACCGGTTAGAGTACACGGCGCGAACCGAGATTTTTTTCGCCTGGCAATTGAACGTGCTGCACTCGTCCGATTAGCAGGCATATCTTGGCGAGTAAACTTAGGTGATAGTCGGATTTTAGCGCGCTGCGAAACAGCAAACAAGTGGAGAAAGTGAGAGAGAGAGAGAAAGAGAGAGAGAGAGAGAAGCGCAACCAAGCGAGAGTGCAGAGCGGCTATGCGATAGGTACAATCAGGAGCTCGATCTCACCTGCTCGCTTCGTCGTCGTCGTCGTCTCTTTTTCCGTCGCCTGCGCTTGCGAAGAAGGCCTCGGCACTTGGGCCGGGCTGGTCGCGTCGGCTGTTGCAATTGCCTGTATTGTCGTGTCGCGGCGTTGATGCGAAGTAGCAGCAGCAGGATTTGGGTTACTTTGGTTTGGCCCTCCTTGCGCCTCCGCAGGCGCTCGGCGGCGAGGCCCTCTCTTCGCGGCTGGGGCCCTCGAGCTTCTCGGAGCAGCCCCGTCGTCGTCGTGACGGCCGCAACAGCAGCCTACGCGCGCGCGGCCCAACGCCGCCCCCTTTCCCAGTCACCGCTGCTGCGACCTCCGACTGCGACTGTCCTCTTGCTGCTCGTCCTGATCCGCACTGCTTGCGCCGTCCGCTGCTCGTCGCCGCCTTCGTGCCGCTTGCTGATGATGCTCGCCTCGACTTTGCATCTGCGGCTAATTTGCCTGTCGGACCGATTATCACCTCGTCGTAGTCGCTGAGCGCCCAAGCTCCATTCAACATCACCAGCGACCACCTTCGATCAACGCTCGAGCGCGCCTTTTTTCCTTCTCTGCAGCTTCGCTCGCGACCTCGCGGATTGCTCACACCATCGATCTGCGACCTCGCGCGAGTCAGTCACCCGTCGTGGTATTTGGGCTTATGCATAGCTGTCGAATCGCGAAGCTCGCCCGCACTGACTTACGTCGATATTATTTTCATAAGGAATGGAAAGCGCGACGTGGCTGCTGCTGGTGCCCGACACCCACGAACAACCATCAGCGACGAACGTTCGCCCGAGGAGACGCGACGACGACTGGGTGATCCGCGAATCCGGCGCTCGGAGGCTGTGCGCCGCGACGCTGTGCACATGCGTTGAGCGATGTTGGCCTCCCCCCCGCACGCCTTTGCCTCGCGCCCCCGTTCCGCTCACTCGCGTGCTCTCTCTCTCTCTTTCTCTCTCACTTGCTCTTGTTGAAGAATGCGCGGGTGCTACTGCTACTCTCGCCGCTCTCTCTCTCTCTCTCTCTCTCTCTCTTTCTCGCTTTGTAGTGGGATCGAAAACTCAGGGGTAGGCACCGGCACGATTTTAGCTTGCGGTTTTGATACTAATTTCTTCTTTTTTATTCTCTCCCCGCCCCCTTTCTCTCTCTATTTCTCTCGCCCGCAAAGTTTGTTGAGGTACACTGTCGCTCGATAATTTATTTGTGATTCCTTTATACACTGGCGAACCGATAGGCTCGCGCGTCAGTGCAGAAAAAAGAAGAGAGTATAGCAAGTCAGTCGCGTGCCGACGACGGACTTGGCTGTCAATCGCTCGGCGGCTTGTACATTGTGCGGTTACTTTTATATAGATAGTGGTGCCAAGGTATGGGCTGACGTAGCTCTCGACGAGAGCGTAACGTATAGCCCCTGGGCAGGAAATGATATAAATAGTGGCAGTCTAACCCGAGCGCTTGCACGCACAAAAGCGCGTTCGGTTCGTCGCCGTTCTCACACTGTTATTGCGCGTAGCGCGCTATCGATCTTGCGCCTGTCGCATTAGCGACGAGCAAAAGCATCGTCCGATTAAATATTCGCGCATCGCGCCGATATGCAATGGGCGACGGCTCGAACGGAAACGATCACTGCTTTTGTTCAATTCCCGTTGGAGCAAAGCCGAAAATGATTGAAATTCAAAGTCAGGCGTGACGTCGAAAGCCGCCGTAAAACCCATCTCTACATGCTCCTCTCTCGTGCAGCAGCAGCAAGCGAACACGCAGTAATCTCCGCTCTTGCTCTCTCTCTCTCTCTCTCTCTCTGGCTCGATCCCATTCCCGCTCGATAGTTCGTGCCATCTTTCTCGCGAGCCGTCGTCGAACGAAATCGACTCGGATCCCGTTTAGTTCTCGCTTTCCTCTTTCCACCTGCACCCGAGCACTCTGCGCGTGTGTGTGTGTGTGTGTGTGTGTCCATGTAGAAACGCGGTACCGCACATGTTCTCGCTTTCGTCGACGAACGGATGCATCGTAAATTTCTACGTGCCCACGATGATTAAGGGCTAAGCGCTCATGGATTATTGAAAATTGGGAAAGCCACGATGTTGTTTTCCAGCTCTATGTCTATACGCACGCATCGCATTTGTACGCAAGGACTAATAGTTGTTCAAAGAGGCTTGCACGTGGCTGAGTAATTATACAGATTTATCACTTAATTAATGCAATTGCGCAACGTCGGATCAAGTGTATTTCAAGAATTCGCTGTTCTAGGAAAAGCAATAATAATCGCTTTCCTTGTACACCATAAGCAATTGTATCTTTTTATCCATTGGCATAATTACTTATTTACTTGTCCCACGACAGAATTTATAGCTTCGAATTTTTTGAATGTTCCAGACTCTCTGCGTCGGGCAGATGCCTCGCTACCGCCAGCACGTGTGTGCGCGCGGAATCCACGCGCGGCTAACTAATTTCCACATTCTTACACGGCATCGCATCGCCACAGCAGATCGCAGCGATCGTCACCTGAATTAGCTCCCCAAAGAAGCCGAGAAGAGAGATCATCTCTTTCTACGGCGGCGGCACCGTCAGTATAAAAGAGGCACACTCGAGACTCGAGAGATTCTTACCTGAAACAAACAAATGTAAAAAAAGCTATTAAAATTTATTACCCGGAACGCAATAAATATAAATGTGCGTTCAATCTAACTAGTAAGTAGCAGAAAAGTTAGCGGCCAGTTAAAAGTTGTGTGCGCAAGTAATTAGGACCGTTAATCGGCACACGCACTTAAACAGACAGCAATAAAAAGAGTAACGTCGCCTTTACTCTCTTGAAGCTCACGTCACACACACATACACACTGTAAACCACATCACGACAGCGGAAGTAGTAAGCTCTATGGCCAAAGTCTAGCGGCCGTGAAACAAAGCAGAGGAGCCGCCAGCCGTGTAATTGGACTTCTCTTTCTCTCTACCGACTCGACTCCGTTTCTTATTCTTCTTCTTCCATTCGTCGTCTCGAAGTCGAGCTCTGACGCTCTTTCAAGAAGGCAGCCGAGAGCGACACTGTCTGTACGGCCAGTGAGGAACGTCCCTCTTATTTACCAATCGACGATGGAGACGGGCTACTGACACTCGCGGCTGTGCTATGCTATGTGCGGCTTTTATGAGTTTCATTACGGTTAGCGCTTGCTGCTTTATTACGCGCTTCCACGCAAACATTTTTGTATTTACGAAAGTACTTTTTTCTACGCTTTCTTTCGACTATCTTTTAGTCATTTTTTCACATTTATTAATTTACGATAGTCTCGATAACGAATCGATTATTACTTCTCAACCTTGTTATTCTTATTGCATTCTTTTGTTTTATGTTTCCTTCTATGTACTGTTTTTCAAAGTTTAATTTTTAAAGATATAAAAAAGATAAATCATGGAATGTACAAAAATAGCCTTAAAAAGACACGCATTCATTGTTTTTATCCCCTCTCCAACGCATGTGCTCTCGTCGTGATGTGATGACGCATGCGCTAGCGATGACGGGCCATGTGATTGGCTCAGGCTGCACCGTATGCACGCTATAGGGCCGAATGTCCTTCCCACTCTAATTTATCCACGTCACGAGTTATTTCAAACTTTGGTAAAGCTCATTTTTTGATTAAAATCTACATTGTTCATTAATAATTTAAGTACTATGTTTTTTATATCACTTCGATTCGAAAACTACTATTAATTAAGTTTGAAATTAATTCAGACAGACAATGTGTCAAATCAATATTGTCGATGATCAACTGCAAACGTGTGAAATAATTATTGATTGTTATAATTTACTATTGCAGAGTATATTTGAAAGAGGCGCAACTGAAGTAGATAAACCGAAAAGGGCTAAAATAAGAAAATAAACGATGAAAACGAAGTGTGATGATATCCTACTTTGCAAAATAAGCGGAGCGAGTAAATTATTTTCAATTGCCTAATCCCCCCTTAAGACACATTGCGTAGCGTTTCGCATCACAACAACAAATCAAGCACTCACATTGTAGGCAAGTGCAGATAACAGTCAAACAGACATCGCATCAAACGCAGCATCTGATCACGGCGCAGCAACTACATACATGAGAAAAAGAATGTCTTCGTGATCAGCATCGACGATCTCACGATCCCCTCGCGTATATGCACAACCTCTCTCGATCTCTCTTGCAGTGTATCCGAGATGTAAGAGGTAGCAGAAATCATGAGTGTATACGCCGCAACGACAACGACGTGACCCAATTCAACTTGTCAATCGCTCTTAATCAGCATTCGCTGCATACGATTTTTCGCCTCAAGGATTTTCGCAATGCAACAATGAGTGAGACAGACGCCAATGCCCCCCGGAATAAGATACATATTGTTTCAATCAGACAACCATTTTTCGACGATAAATTCTTATTTTTCTCTCTCGCACATTCAGCACGACATCTCGGAGAATTCGATCGCTCGAATATTTATTCATTCACCTACGTTGCATCAGCGCTTCGCGATTCGTTCGAGTTGTTTTTGTCGTTGCAGATCATGTTTTGTCATGCGTACTCAGCTCCCACTGGTTGGAGGTAATGCGAAAAGTATTGTACGCTTCAAGCTAAGACTCTGCGCGATTACGCTGCTCGTTGCGGGCTATTATGACGAGCGTAACTGTATATTCAACCACGTATCATTCGACAAACAGATATTTGCAATTTTTTTCTCATGGCAGCCACGTTTGGCCGAGCTTCATTACAGCCGACAGCTGCCGCGATCGTACTCAATTCAAAGGAGTGCGCATTTATTAGCAACGGAGGAAAAGCAGTAATTTTTTTTATCATAAGCACTTTTGGCGCGCATTGTCGGTAGATGAGTTTCGCCACTGCGCGCACAGTCTGGCAGGAGCGCGAAGCCAAATCTACACTCAACTAACGCACGCGCACACAGGTTATATATATGTATATATATATATATATATATATATATATATAAGCTATAATCTCCGTGCAGCGTTGGGCCACGCAAGAGCTGTCACGGCTTCCATTTCCTGCATCCCGCCGACGTCTCAAGAGCGTACAGGTCCGTCCCAGCTCCATGCACTCACACAGCCGCGTAGAGCTACATTGCACGAGTGTAGGGCGCGCGAGCAAACCCTCTGCGGAGGTAGAACGCCAGCAGCAATGTCGTCTAGCTTGAGAGAAGCTCCGGCCGAGCTGGCAAGTTGCGCTTGAGAGGCGAGGGGGTGGCACACCACCACCCGCTGCCCGTTATATCAACTGAAGGCGAGAGAGAGAGAGAGAGAGAGAGAGACGGATATAGCAAGCTCAGACGCACGGGCGCGCCTGTCTAGGACAGCCTTACATATACATCTACGCAGAGAGGCAGAGACACCAGTATGAACGTTTTGGAAATGCAGAATCTGCTATTTTGGCGAGTATTACGATGCTTTGGAAATAAGATGCGAAATCGATAGGATAATGTCAATTACTCATTAACAATCCGTTGTAGATAAAGAAAAACTAAGCGAATCCAAATGTAACGTGATCCTTACCCAACCGGCGAAAGAGCTGTAAATCAGTAACAAGTTCATCAAAAAAGCCGAGAAGTCTGGCATTTCACACGGGCCTCATTGTAAACGTTTGGCCCTTGGATGTAGTTTTTATATATAAAGCTGCACAGCGATCGAGGCTTAGACATGAGAAAGCTCGCGCGCCGCAGGAAGGGGAGCTCGCGGTAGCGGTGGCGGCGGTGTAGCCAAGTAAAGCGAAGAAGGGCCGTCTGTGTGGAGTACCGCTTGGCTATATATATATATATATATATATATATATATATATATATATGTGTGTGTGTACAACATATATCTATATAATATGTATGTATATATATAGAAAGAGCAGGGAGGGCAGCGCGGGGAGCAAGCAGTAGTAACGGCGCTGAGAGGGGATGAGCGATGGCAGAG